CGCCACGCCATGCCGTTTGGTGAGGGGAGGTGAGGTGAGGTGAGGGGAGCGGGTCTCGGTTATATTGATATGTCTCCCAGTAGAGCAAGAAAAACAGCCGGTAGCACAGTTAAGCTGGGACCGCAATGTGTAAAAAATTACGAGCTATACATTGAAAGGACGAAAAGGAGGAAGGAAAAAAAAACTAAGGCCTGTCATCTATGTGGGCAGGTGGTTGTTAGCGAGGAAAACTGTTGTTAGCGCTGCTGGTTTTTGGGCAACTTTCAGTCGCTTCCTTCGATCCTTGCCACGCATGATGAGCCAACAACAATATGTTAACCCTGAAACTTCTTAGTGTGTTTGGGTGTGTGTGCGAACACTAAAATATTGCTGCTGCCTGAATTAGTTTATGAGTCGCAGGACCGTCCATACACTCAACAAAATTGTTGCCTAATTAATTAAAAGCGATATTTCATTCTCTCCCCCAGTGCGTAGAGTTGTTTCACTTTTATTTATATTATTTATTCATTTAATGTTATTAAGTATGTATGCAATTTAAATATCTTGTTGGATTTTGCATATTTCTAAACAAATATCAATTTAGGAGCTCCATAAATCATAATGTCTTCTAAAACTAGAGCTTTGTTTTTATAGCTTATTTTATATTTACTTCAAAAGTGGCTTAATTTGGTTAATTTAATTTAGTTTAATCCATATAGTACGTGTTAATTTTTATCTAAGTACCCTCATTCTGAAGTGGCTTAATTAAGCTTTTGATAATATTTTGAAGACCAGACTTGGTCGGCGAATGTGCTTACCCAGTATCTGGCTACAATTATGGTTGACTTAATGGCCAACATTTTCAAGTAAAGCTCAGGTCTAGTAGAAAGAATGTCTAAGCTTAGAGTTTTTGGACTACAATAAAAAATATATTAAATTGTTGTCACAATTTCAAAAACGTACATAACTTTCCAGGTGTTTGAAGACAAATGTGTGGCGAGCACGGCCACATACGAGTATTCAATTATGTATATACACCTAATTCTGTTTTTACACTGTCTTTTTTACAAGTAAGAACACACACAGGTGACAAACAGTTAGAAACCATTGTTATATGGGTCGCTATGCACATTATACAAGTATATGTGATTTAATAAAATAAACATAAATCCTTGTTTTTTCACTGATTTTGATAGGTTTTAGAGATACGGAACCAATCGCCTATATTTCCATATGACCAAAGCCTTTTAACACGGTTCTTTTTTGACACGAATTTTTCTGGAACAAAGTTACGGTGTAAAAACAGAATTAGGCGTATATACGTTTACATATATAATATATACACTAAAATATAGTTATTTGGTGCTAACAGGCATAACAGCAAGTGTAAATAAAGCAGTTTTGAAGCTTGGCAGTGGAGGGGAACATACTTGTAAAGTGCATTTAAATTGCTTATGATTTCTAAAAAGAACATGCTATTAGACTCATTTATTATAGAGTTAATTTAAGTGGCAGATCCCTCGATTCATATTTTAAATTCCATATAGCATACAAACACAATATCATACTAAGTACATAGATGCTCGTATATGAATCGTACATTTAGGTTTTCACCTTTCAGACCTTTCCAATGAGTCGAACGATCGAATATCGTTTTAGTTTTTGGGGCTTGCACGGGTTCAGGTCCCAAAACAAACATTTCTTAGCTTGAGCTCTTCATGCGAATCCAATCGATATCCATGACATACCCTTACTTGTGAACTTTGAAAATTTTGCACACCAATCGGATTTGAAGAAGTCATTTAATTTTAGTTTTATCTTCCATTGCATTTAAAGAGCTTTTCTGTTCACTTTTATTTAAAGTTCGAAGCACCTTTAATACTTGTACTTATACTTTAGTATGCATATGTAAGTCAATTGGTCGCGCACACAAGCAAGTATGCATACTATATGTATATGCGCGTGTGTGTGTGTGTGTGTGCGAATAAAAAGAGAGCTTAGGCAGCGCCGTTTTTTTAAATTTATGGGAGACTCGCAGACGCACAAACAGACAATCAGACAGACAGAGGGACAAACACATATTCATTCATATATGCATAGCTGTTTGTATTCGACATAAATTTTGCACAGTGTATTTTGTGCTGGGAATTCCCTTGGAACTTTTGCCGCCACGACTGCTGACGTCGCCGACAAAAGGTAAAAAGTAAAAGTAAGTAAGGCAACGCACATTCACGTTTGCGTTCGCGTTCGCGTTCGCACTCGCGACTTACCTACCCTCCACCCCCCTCTCCACTCCCCCCTTCACAGCATTGTCCTCTGAACAGAGGCAGCCCTGCTGCCATGCGGATATAAAAATAAAATAAAATCTATTACGTGGCAAACCACCCCACATTTATGTGGCAATTTGTTGTTTTTTGATTGTGTGCGTCTGCAGCCTCAGGATGACGATGAGGATGCGGATGTCGTAGGAGGGGGGACTGCAGGAGTAAAGTGTATCATTTTCCCATTTGCTGCGTTCCTGAGTCAGCCCGGTGCCGGGGCCGCGCTTCATTTGGCGACCCCTTTTTGACGCCAGGCCAGAGCCAGGACCAGAGCCAGAGCCAGGGCCAGGGCCAGAGCGAGGGCACTTCTCGCACTTTGTCTCAATTCCCAACTGTCGCCCGCCCCTGTAGTTGCAATTTATGAAGATTTGTGTGGCCGGTGTGGGCTGGCAGCAGCCCTCTTCATCGTCATCGTCATCCTTCTCCTTCACCAGCACCAACACCACCACTTCCACTTCCACTTCCACCTCCGCGTGCTGCCTCTAGTGCACTTGTTTTGATTTGTTTGGAATAATAACAGATGCTTACCGTTCATATTATTCATTGTTAAAATTATTAACGCTTGACAATAAAAATTGTATTTGAACAGCACTCGAACACACAACGCCATTCTCATTCTCATCGTCATCGTCAACGCCAACGCCATCAGCATCGCCATCGCCATCGCCATCACCAATCGACTCGACTCGATGCGACCCGATCCGACCCGACTCGACCTGTGCATGGCCGACGGCTGTGGTTGCTTGTTCTTGTGCCCGTGCCCGTGCCCGTGCTCGAGCTCGTGCTCGGGTAAATTGCAATTTGTGCAAATATTTATGTACATTGAAAATTACTCATTTGTGTAACACCAATTAATTTTCACAAACAGCAGCAACAGCAACAGCAGCAACAACAATGGGACCCCATTTATAAAACTTGGCATTGCCATCACCATCACCATCAGCATCGGCATCGGCAGTGTTGTATACTGTTGTCCTTCTTCTGGTTAAACAAATGGAAAATGAGGTCTTTTGTTTCCTAAAATAAACTAATTTTGTTTGATGCTGCCACAACCGAAGCCACCTCTCTATGCCTTTGTTGTTGTTGTTGGTTGTTTGTTCGTTCGTTTGTTCGTTCGTTTGTTCGTTCGTTTGTTCGTTTGTTTGCCTTAACCAAAGTTTGTCAAGCGTCTCCTGTGCACCTGCATTGGGGTCCAAGATCAGGGATGAGGCAGAGCTCCCCCCCCCCCCCCCCCCCCCCCCACAACATGCATTCGATTCTGGCTACAAACTACAAACTTTGGCAATTGCAGCCACAAATTGCTACTTCATTTTGCTTACATTGCAATTTTTCATCGTGCCTCTGACAAATTGAAACTAATTAGACACAACCGAAGCCTTGACAGCCCCACTGATTGCAGTCCTTGAAAGCTGTGGCCTCGTCAGGTGGTGGCAATCAGCACAGTACTTTTAAACACACCCTTAATGAGCCACACAGTAAAGGAATTTCTTAAAGTTTGCTCCAAAAAAATCCTTACTGTCTTATTACAGCGCTTCAAATAGGATCACTTTTTATTATGGGAGGCATTTAGATGTTAAGGAGCTTGCACTTCCAACTCTATTGCCAATTGATGATGTACTCAAGGACTCTAAGGCATCCTTTGAAACGCTCGACTTACAAATAATAGTAATCGTACAAGAACTTCTCATTATGGACTAATTATAGTTAATGAGAGATATGGTAGGCTACACATTTTAGCTTTTTATTTGAATGTAAAAGGACGTTCCCTTTAGTTTGAAATGGAACCATCTGCAATTGTGGATAAGCTCTGACTTCAGAAAATATTCTGAAGGACTATTTAGTATAATGACAACCAATTGGAGGTCATAAGCATAGAGAGCCCAGAACTGTAGCTGGTAATAACAAAACTGTTTTATTATCAGAAGAATTCCTTTGGCATACAGTCTGTGCCCACTAATTGCTTAGTTAATCCTATTTTAGTGTTGTTTTAACAAATTTAGTTTGAAAACCTAAAGAAAAGTTATTCAAGTATGACTTCACATTTAAATATTACTTGTGGAGGATTTTTCTCAAACAACGGGGATTAGTCTTTTCTTCAATTTTTACTGAATAATTCATTTCTAAATGCGTTAGTGCTTTTAATAAGGAAACAAGCTAGAGGAGCTAACTATTCATTTTAAAGCAAAGAACAAAACGGAGCTTCTCGGCTAGGAAGGACAATACTTTGAAAATAGTCTCTAAAAGAATTGGGGACATCTGAAGCAGTTCTAATCCATGGCGGACACTTCGCATTCCACAAGAGTCAATCCACTTATTGGAGTTTTTCCACAAATACGAGCAAAGTCTGTTAATTATACAAGTCAGTCATAAGGTGTTTATGTAGAAACCTAATTGTTATCTGACAATTTTACAAATACTTGCACAAATGTCAAAGAAAAACTCATCCAATATTATATGTAACTTCTTCGAACAACTTTTTAGAGACATTTCTATTGCATGTTAGGATGCCATGGATGTTCGAATCGAAGTTTGGTGTCCGATCAATTGCAGCGACATGCACCTGAATTGGATGTAATTCACAGTCAATTTGATGGGCTAGTGCTTCAGAGTTACTAATCGTATGTGGAGAATTGAATCACAGAAATTTCATATCAGTTTAGAACAGTCAGGCGGGCTTTGAAATTTGTACATTTCGTTAGCATCTATATACATTTCGAATCTAAATTGAAAACCCATCACCACAATTTCGCAGATTTAGTTGTGTATAAAATGTGCACGCGATTCTGAGCGAACATAACATCAGCAGGCGTAACCCTACCTACCCTAAAATTAGGCAATTCGAAAGCCCTACACGTTCCGAATCACGAATCGGTGGGTCAACTGCCTAGGCGGCGTCTACAATAATTCTCCATTATTAACAGCCACGCATCTCTGTGTTGAAACCGACACCCAAATCTATATCCGAATCAAAATTGGAACCGAACCCGAAAGCGACAATTAGGCAATATGTCGGAGGTACTCAACCTGGATAGCATCATATCGAGACTGTTGGAGGTACGCGGCGCCAGGCCTGGCAAGAATGTGCAACTGAGCGAGGGGGAGATACGCGGCCTATGTCTCAAGTCGCGTGAAATATTTCTGGCACAGCCCATTCTGCTCGAACTGGAGGCCCCGCTTAAAATTTGCGGGGACATACACGGCCAGTATTATGATTTATTGCGACTCTTTGAGTACGGGGGCTACCCGCCCGAGTCCAACTATCTCTTTCTCGGTGACTACGTCGACCGAGGTAAGCAGTCGCTGGAGACCATTTGCCTGCTGCTCGCCTACAAGATCAAGTACTCGGAGAACTTTTTTCTACTCCGCGGCAATCACGAGTGCGCGAGCATAAATCGCATCTACGGATTCTATGATGAGTGTAAGCGCCGCTACACAATTAAACTTTGGAAGACCTTCACAGACTGTTTCAACTGTTTGCCCGTCGTAGCGATTGTCGATGAGAAGATATTTTGCTGTCACGGCGGCCTCAGTCCCGATCTCACATCCATGGAGCAGATCAGACGGATCATGCGACCCACGGATGTGCCAGATCAGGGCCTCCTTTGTGATCTGTTGTGGTCCGATCCCGACAAGGACACCATTGGCTGGGGCGAGAACGACCGCGGCGTCAGCTTTACGTTCGGTGCCGAGGTCGTCGGGAAATTTCTGCAGAAGCACGATCTCGATCTGATCTGTCGGGCGCACCAGGTTGTCGAGGATGGTTACGAGTTCTTCGCCAAGCGGCAGCTGGTAACTCTTTTCTCTGCGCCCAACTACTGCGGAGAGTTCGATAATGCCGGCGCCATGATGTCTGTCGACGACACCCTAATGTGTTCGTTCCAGATACTAAAGCCTGTGGAGAAGCGAAAAAAGTGAGAGAGTGAGAGTCGATTTTGGCCGGAGTTCCAGGGCTCTCATTTGTGCCGTTTCATTTTATACAACAGCTGATCCAAATTGTCATATTGTACGATATATATTCGATATCTAAATTACAACATTTTCTTGGTATAAGTAATTAATTGATCATTCTTTTACTAATTACACGTGGCAGTGCTTGAACGATGAGAATTGATTTCGAATAGCAATCGCCTCCAAAAAGATTAAATAGTGGGTGAAATAGTGCTGGCTATATTTCTCATTTGTTTTTTGATCAGGGCTTAAACACAACTTCAAAATGAAATTCCACAACTTTCATCAGTTAAAGCTTGAATCGTGAAAGTGAGATCTCCTGATGTTGCTTATGTATATTGTTGATAAAAAATCAGAACAGAAATGTTTTGGAAAGCATTAAGCTTGAGGGCAAGCCTACATTTTCTCTTTTATGGTTGACAGTTCTTCATTTAGGGGTTTTTAGTTATACTTGTAAATCCAATATATATTTACTTTAAATGCTTTATATACTTTAAATACCTTTCATAGTTCTTGCCTTTATAATACAACGTTATCTATATATAACAAATTGCTTTGCAAAAGCCAAATTAAAGACATTTTTTTTATTCCAAAATTGTCCATCTTTATGAATACGCGAGCTTTTTTAACCATAATAGCAAACATTTAGATCATTTAGGCGAAGTTTGTAAATCCCATTATATTCTATTGTTGGAATGGCGGAAACATCACTCTTTGGAGAACAAGTTTTTTATCGTAACCAAGCATTATATTTATAAGTATTATAAATGATCTTAATATGTTTATAAAGCCACAGGATCGGTTGGTAGAAAATTAATTTTAGTAGCAACAACGTTTTGTTTTGTTTTAATTTTTATAATATATACCCAAGACTTCTTTTTTTATCTTTGGGATAGGGCATAATGTTGTTAAGTGCAAGGTGTATCCAAAGACTGAAAATTGCTAATTTTGTTTATATGTATGTATATATATTTATATATACATCTGCATTCTCTAAGGCCGCGCTTTGCAACCACACACGTAGGTACCTGGTTGCCCGTCTGGTTGCCTGCCTGCCTGGTTGCCTGACTGCTCTGTCTAGTCATGTCTTCCGGTCTATCATTTGCAATCATGGCTCGTTATTATTTGCCGCCGTCGCTTACCATAACATATTAACAATGCTGAAAAATTAATGAACAATAACAAAAAAGCACACGAGACAGCAAAATGCCGGCAAAGGGGCCCACAACAGCAGCAAAACAAAAACAGAAAAGGAATTGCACCAAAAACGCTTTATTATGGCAAAGCGACAGGAACAAAAAAATACAACAGCAACAACAAATTACATTATACAATATGTAATGAGGTCATTTGCGCGTAAACAATCACACAAACACACACACACACACACACAAAAAGAGACACATATACATACATACGTATGTATATACATATATACATGGAAGGAAAAACGCAAACCGGAGACCGGCGTGGGCATACACACGCACAGGCATGGTCACATGTTTATCAACAACAGCAAATAAATAAATTATGTTGGAAATTTGTTAATAAGTGATGAGCAAGAAAAACGCAGCAAAGGAAAAGAGGAGCACCAGCAGCGATGAAAAATAAGCAAAACGAAAAGGAAACACTGAACGAAGCGGCAAACTAAAAATCAAAATAAAATGGCGTCGCAGACGGCAGAGCGGAAGTTGTCGACGATGGCGACGATGGCGATGGCGACGGCGGTGGCGGTTGTTGCGGTAAAGACGATAAAGATGACAGCAATGGCGTGCAGGTGTTTGTGTATGAGTCTATGAGAGTGAGTGTGTGTGTGTATGTGTGTGATGGCTTTTGCTCTCATTTTAAGTCACCGCTCTGTTTGCCTGCCTGGTCGAGAACATTTTATTTCCGTTTGATTTTTGTAGCATAAGTATTCCTCAAAAGTTTTTATTTGGTTTGACATCGATATTTGAATTGGGTTTTTCTTTCATTTTTATTTAGCACACACACATGCGCTTGCACATAACAATGCCACACCCACACATGCAAACGTACATATGTATTATGTCAGTACATACTATACATACATATGTATGTATATGCCTGCCATCTATCTCGCTCTATTTGCCCCCTGATTTTGCACATTCTTGATATTGTGTTTGGCTTTAGCTACTCATAAAATGTATTGGCGCCATCTAGCGCTCATATTCAATATATGTATTTCTGTTATTTTTATGCCATTGTTGTTGCTATTGTTGCAGCTTTTGTTGTTGGTGAGCCTGGCTTTTAAAATATTTATTAATTGAATTATGCGCCTAATGAAATGAACAGAAATTAACTTGGACGCTGTCGTCCTCAACATCCCCATCGTCTCCATTGTCGTAGCCTGCGTAGCCAGCATCGATGTCAGCAGCGACAGAAGCAGTAGCAGTAGCCGTATCCGTAGCCGTAGCATTGGCAGTGGCAGCGACAGCGTGTGGGCATTGCCCAAATAAATTTTGCATAAGCCTCAGCCAACCACAATGCAGCAGCATGGAGAGCCCCCAGCAGGGCCTCCACAATGCTCAGCAATGTGTTCGCTCTCTGACGCAGGAGGTAGCTGCCCAATGCGACGGCGTCAACAGCGACTGCGGCTGCGGCGGCGACGTCAGCCACGACGATGAGTTGCCAAAAACAAAAGGCAGAATCGGACTCAAAACTCAAGGAGCGCAGGAAGGAAAGAGATGAAGCGATTAAGTGCAAGCGAGCGCACAAACGAATGCGAGCTTACAAGAGAGCGGCAGAGCGAGAGAGCCGGCGGCAATCAGAGTGTGAGTGTGAGCGAGAGAGAGAGAGTGGTGCGTCAAGGGTGCAAACCAATAACAGTCAGACTAATTTTGGGATTGGTTTATAATTGAAGAGTTTGCCATTGTGTGAGTAGTTTTTATTGCGCCGCCGTCGTCGCTCTTTATTGTTGTTGCCATATTTGCTGTTGCAGTTACTTTTGTTATTGCATTTGTTATTGTTGTTGTATATTGTTGTATTATGTACTAGGAACCAACACCTACCGCCCCACTCCACTTCCTCGCTGCCAACGTATCTTATTGTTTTTCATAGGCCTTTCGCCATTTGCAAATATATTTGTCCATTCCCGCCTTCCTGCCTGCCTGTCTGCTTATCATTTTAGAGTTTTACATAATTGCCGTAGCACCCCCGCCCCTCTCGCAACAGCCCAACCATCGTCATCGTCTCCGTCTCCGCTGCCAACTCATATCCAATTCTAAACGCACATGGGGCGTGCTCACAAGCTGTACATAGTTTTCGGCTGGGCCACATTTAAAAAGATAAATAAATATGAGTGTGTTGTCCTGTCCGCTTACTCTGTGTCCCCACTGACAAGGCACTACCAATAGACCGAGAAAGAGAGGGAGAGACAGAGAGAGAGACGGTATACAAGAGAGCCTGCCAGTAAGTGGAAGTGAGAGGAGCGCGTATTCTACTGCAGACGCCCCAAACTAGAAACAAACTGGGCAACTGGCCGGCATTTTGGGTGGCTATTGGCGTTTTGTTATAGCATAGCATACTTTTCAGCTGTAATCTGTTTAAATGCTTAACAAAGCAAGGCGCTTTGCCACACACACACACAATGAGAGAGACTCACGCATACACTGTTGAACTACACTGCCTCATGCCTTTTAGTTGTTATTCATATTTGTTTTAATAATTGAACATTTCTATAAATTTTTGATGCATAGACAAAAGAGTTGTGTGTCTGTACGTAAGTAGTATAATGTATATGGATGTGTGTGTTTGTGTGTAACACCACGTCAGTGTATGCATGTCTCATTCATTTAAGACCCTTCAAAAGTTACTCTGTATGAGTGTGTCAGTGAGTGTATCGTTCAATTAAAGCTACACGACACAAAAGACCGAAACAAGTGCAGGCGAACAATTTACAACAAATTTTCAACTTGAGTTTTCTACAAGTTTTTTTATGATAAAGGGTTGTCGCCGTCCTCGGAGGGTGGCCGAGCTCTTGAAGAGTGGGGAGCAGTGCCAGTGCTGGGCAATGTTGTACTGGGCTTAATTAGTCACTGCTGAGCCAACAATCATTTCTACCCAATTGTAACTTTCAATGCACTTTTCATGTTGCTCAATAAATGGTTTCAACTTAGAGCTCCAAAACGATAAAATGACACTTTTTTATACTTATTTATTAAACAGGAGTCGTATAGACGCTGGCTACTGTTGGTTGCTAGCCGAGAGGATTAGCAATTGACACATCTGTTAAGCTACGGTCAAAATTGCAAATTATTTGAAGAATAACATGTCGTTTTTTTTTATGTACAAATAAAAAGAAAGCTATATTTTAAAATATAATTCGTGTTAATTGAAGTACTATTTTATTCATGACTGCCTCAGCTGACAGCACAGTACACGATCAGTTAGTACTGCTTAATATTGTAAATTCTGGTAAAATCTGGCTGGATTGAACTCGGTATTATCTCAAGCAATAAGCATTCTCCGTTTGTTAATCTTTCGCCCTACGACAGTCCATGCCATTGTTGTCGACAAGTTGATGTGTGTTCTGCCAATGTCGTCTTAACTTTTCTTTTATGGAAAATTCTAGCTACTCTTTAAAAATTCAAAAGCAAAAGTAAGATCCTTGTCAGTCGTGTATGGTCTCCGCAAACAAGTCGATAAAACGAGACAAAAAAAGAAAGAAATGGAAGATTATAAAAGGTTTACTTTCTCTTGTATGGTGTATCTTCTTGCATTATAGATTTATGTAATGAATTGTTTGTATCCACATATCAACCTTTCTCTGATTTAATATTCACAATTTTCCAAAGATGTGATCGGGTTTGAGCAAAAAACAAAGCGAACTGAATGAGACGATTAGAGAAAACAGAAATAAATTCTGGTTTGATAGACATCTTAGAACAGTTATTATTAATTTAAGCTAATTATCCAAGATTTGCATACTATTAAAATTAATGCTCGCAATGGCTTGTCAGATGCACCATTCAATGGATCAACTGGACATGCTGGACCCGACGGGCTCGATGACAACGTTAGCGCCCATTTCGGAGTCACCCCTAACGCCAACGCACCAACACCTGCACGGTTCCTATCACAGTATGAATCACATGATGAGCCACCACCATCCGGGCACGTTAAGTGGACACACGGCGGGTGAGTTTGAACCCCTCTGAATTCCTAAACTGTAGCAGGAGCCTCAACCTATCGACTGCTATCGCACATGCAGGGCATCATGGACACTCAGCGGTACATCATCCTGTCATAACAGCGGCTGTGGCGGCTGCTGGCCTGCATCCCGACACCGACACAGATCCCCGCGAGCTGGAAGCCTTTGCGGAGCGTTTCAAGCAGCGACGCATTAAACTAGGTAAACCCATAGACGCACAAACTCACAATTGGCTTGCTCCTCTATCCAGGCCCGGCGACTGACTATTATTGGTTCGGCTTATCGCAGATGTTTCCATTTGTAATTCAAAAAAATTACTTATAAGAACTCAAAAAGGTTAAACATTTAGTCAGCCAACAATATTAACTCATGACCATTTAATTTCAAGAAGACACATCGGATCTTTTCTAATACATTTTTCAGTATAAGTATGACTCAGTTGGAAGCAATGGTGAAGCTTCCGCAAGTGTATGTTTACGTTTGATCTTACTTTTATGCCATTTTTAGTTAAAATAACGAAAGGAAAGTTTAAGATAATTTAGTTCTCGATTCGAAATGGGCTTTCCATGCAACGCTAGAGCGGGGTCACCACATCTTTTAATTAGTTTGTGACTGAAAATCATCAACGTGGCTAAGGATTCGACTTATCGCATACAATCAATACGAAACCACCTACCTTACCTTTTTAGTTAGCTCCTGAGTTGTTAATAAAGATAAGAAATTGGTGAGAAACTAAATAAGTATGAATGAGTAATAAATCACCGGAGGGTATGCTTTCTGCCGGGCCTGTCATTGCCCATTAAAGAAATTATTACACTGCCCTGGTCCCTAAATCGTGGGCTGCCAACAAACACACAACCTCTTTCCGCTCTGGCCTTCTTGCAGGTGTCACGCAAGCCGATGTGGGCAAGGCCCTTGCCAATCTCAAGTTACCTGGCGTCGGCGCGCTGTCGCAAAGCACAATCTGTCGCTTCGAAAGCCTCACGCTGTCGCACAATAACATGATCGCGCTGAAGCCCATCTTGCAGGCGTGGCTGGAGGAGGCTGAGGCGCAGGCGAAAAACAAGCGACGGGATCCGGACGCACCTAGCGTGCTGCCGGCGGGCGAAAAGAAAAGGTAGAAAGTGTTTTAATTAGAGTGGTAAACCGCATAGACAATGCTCCCAGAAACCCCACCAACCCGAACTGCTTAACAATCACATCCAACATCTCTCTCACCCGTCCCAATCAATTGGATGACTGATTGGCATGCCAACATCCCCATCACCATCGTCATTCCCATTCCCTTTCCCATCCACAATCCCCAAGCACACACCAATTCTCTGTCTTTCCTCTTATCACAGACAACCCCGCATAATTTGAAAATGGAAATTGTAATCAAAATTCTGCTGTCTGCTGTCAAATGTTCACCTGATACCCCATTCATGCATAGATATATGTATATATGTATATTAACATAATGCATACATATATACATATGTATATATGTAGAGAAAAGAGAGAGAGGGAGAGAGAGAGAGAGCTGAGAGAGATACATATGTAGATCCAGTACCCAACCCTCATGTAGGGCCCATTTCTAAAGTAATCTATATCGAGTCTTTTTTCAAGAAAAAGGACTTCCATTGCGGCACCTGAAAAGCGTTCCCTGGAAGCCTATTTCGCCGTCCAGCCGAGACCATCCGGTGAGAAAATCGCTGCCATTGCCGAAAAGCTGGATTTGAAGAAAAACGTGGTACGCGTCTGGTTCTGCAATCAAAGGCAAAAACAAAAACGTATGAAATTTGCTGCACAACAACACTGACAATCAAATAATACAGCCACACAATTAGGTATAGTTAGTAGTGTAACACCATCAATGACTGGCCACGGTTCGGCGGGATTTGGATACTGATAGTCGTTTATGGCGGCGGCAGCAGCGGCAACGGCAACGACAACCACACAGTCAGCGTCAGCGCCAACGTTCGCGTCGGCGTCGGCCTCAATGATGGGAACAACAGCAACAACACCAACGGCAGCCGCCGCAGCGATGGCGGCAGCAGCACTGCCCATATCGGGCGACTATTATCTATAGAGAGTGGTGATTCATATCGATACGACGAGGATGGACAACGAGGACAACAGCAGCAACACCAACAACACCTATTCCAACCAATGCAACAACAACAATTACAAGCACTACAATGATGAACACAACACCAAGCAATTCCTTTACCGTTCCTCATTGCGTGTCATCTACAACAACAACAACAATTGCAGCAGCAGCAGCAGCAGCAATAACAATAATAAGGAATATGCAACACCCGACTCAGCCATGTCAGCAACAATCATGAAGCGACTAAAGCTGCTCCAACCACACACACACACACACACACACGCACATGCACACTTTCACACACACCCCTCTCTCTTCCCCCCTACACACACACACACACACACACACACACACATACACAATTGAAAGCCATTCAACCAAAGAGCTAAACTAATTTAAAACGTCAATCAAATAATTAAAGAAATGTAAAGAATAAAGCAAACACACAAAACATAAAGCTAAAGACGAAGACGAAGAAGAGAGACAAGAACAAAATACAAAACAAAACAAAAAAAACTTGATTACCAAAATGAACTACAAGAATTTTTTAGGAACGAATAATGAAACAATGGACCAACATATCAAATGTCAATAATTTATTGAATTGTATAAGAAAAAAAGGTGAGTAAACAACAAACACTTTACATACTTCAGATTCAATAAGTATAGCTTTTAAGACCTCTAAGTGATGATCTGGTATTATATTTAACTCAATATTTGGTTAAATATTTGGGTTTCGAAATATACCAACATTAGTCGAAAAATGGCCTTCACTCGTACTTTTAAGAAGAACTCCATATGAGAGCTATGATAAATATTATGTCCGTCTATCTGACACCAAACCAACTTAATTTAAAACCTTACTATACATACTAATTTGTTTATTATTAAGTAGTTTTTCAATTGGTTACGAAGAAGTTATCAAACTTAGTGGGAAAGGGGGCAAGTTACTAGATATATCGCAATCGTTTTTCAAATAGTTCTTAAATCTTATATTTTTTTTAAAGATAGTGAAAAGAACACTTTAGCCGGGCGTCCTATTGATTCTCATATGTAACTTTATTAGAGCTGGTCTTTTGAAAGTCATAGCTTCTTAAACTCCTAAAATTTACGTATAAAGATGATGAAATACTTACAATGATATTCCAATTTCTTTAAACAGAACAGAGATATTTCTAAGAAATGCTCGGATTGAAAAATATCAATATCAGCCTTCTTGCTGAGACATCTTATAACAGAAGAGCTAGACCAAGCAGATAGGAAATAATACTCATAAAACGATTGGTGCCTACAGATGCGACTTTCTCTTCACTATAATTGTATTTAGAAGTTCCAAATAAAGCATATTGTTACTAGTTAAGGTAGTTAAATAAGTAACCCACTTCTTTCGCATCTAATTGCGTTTAGCCGGCTTTATGATAATTAATAGATCCCCAAATAAGAGCGACTTATCCTTCGGCCAGACGCGCCAAGGAATGGAGAAGAGCAAAAAATTTGTACAAAGTTTTCTGATTTGTGCGTAAGCTTTTAAGAGAAATGAAAGCAAATCAAATTGCTTAAACGAACCCAAAAAGTGGCCACAATCGTGGGCCACCCGCAACCGTCTTCATCTTCATTCGCAAATGACTTTTGAACTACTTATTGAAGTATCTTTAAAGTGCCCTACTAATTAATTAATTTTCTTCTTCTCCCTTTTATCTTTTACTTCGCAGATTTAAAACCAAAAAACAAAAAAAAGAAACGAAAATGAAAACAATTTACACGGGCCCCCCTTCCCCGCTCTGCTGCCACGCACACACACACACAAACACACACAGAGACGCACAGGCACACACACACAAACCCACTCGCACACAGGCCGGCCGTCTTTGTTAGTGTATGTGTTAGTGTGGCATTGTGCGTGTGCGTGTGTGTGTGTGTGTGTGTGCGCGCACAACATGCGACCAAAAATAAAGTTACACCAACATTGCTTCAAGTGATCCGATAATAAGAATTGCGCTCTAAACTAACACTAAGCTAAAACACTACTAACAACAACAATGGAAGAAACTACAACTATATGTGGAGGCAACAACAGACACACACTGACACACCCACACCCACACACACACACAGATAATCAAGCATTAGCCTATGTACATACATATATATATAGAGTTTAATTGTACATACCGCATACAAAAGAAGACGAAGCAGAAGAAGCAGCAGTTTTAAAGCAAAGAATTATATAGCGAGATTTTTTAGCTTAAAAGCCATAACTAATAAAAATTAGTAGATACAATAGTAAGTAACCCCCACATACTAGCCCCCTCCCCCACCCACCTAGTCCCGTACAGCCACACACCACCACCGCACCACCGCTCCACAGTCCGAGGCCGCATTGAAGCCCAAAACACGTTCCCAACCCAGGCCGAGCGGGTTTAGCAGCAATCCTGATGCTTCCTTAAGTGCGACTATGTGTTCTTTTCTCGGTTTTTTGTTCTCGGAACGCCCCCTCCAGCCCCGCCCAGCCAACAGATTAAGCCGATATGGATATGCCCGCACACACCCCCCCACACACACACACACACACTAACACACACTAACACACACTAACACACACACACTCAGCAAGAAGACAATTTTTTTTCCTAAACTTAAGTAAATTAATGCAAATAAAAGTTTAAAAGAAGAAGAAAAAAGAGGAATGTTAGCAACAACTGGAGATATTGCAACGAATTTAAAATGTTGCCAAACTAAACTAAAACCAAAAACACTTGATGAATATAAAAAAACTACAATATTATATATCTATAAAGAATTTTTAAAATATATGTATATTTAGTGATTTTTTCGTTTTTTTTTTTTTATAATTTAGCACATTTCATAGTTATAGTTTTAATTAGAGTTGTACATATAAAGACGATAATAGAGATGAAGATGTTGACGATGATGATGAGCTAACGACGAAGAAGCCGACGACGATGAAGACGAAGATGACAAGATAATATATATATACCTATATATAGTATATATATAGCGTGCGTGTGAATGATTTTGAATGTGAAGTCTTAAAAATGGCAAAAACGCAAAATTCAATAATAATAGAAAAAGGCAAATAGTTTTGTATCAAAAATGGCGGACAAATTAGTGCATAAAATAAAGTAAATCAAGTAATTAATTTAAAGCGAAACCAAAGCAAAATGATGAAGAGAAAAGCAAAAGAAAACAAAAAATACAAACGAAAAGAAATTTTTTTCAAGCCCATCATAACAATAAATAATAATAATTGGTTAAAAGCGAACTCATAACTACATTTAAATTTAATTTTCGTAGTTTCTAGACACCAGATATTATTGTAGCATGAAAATCAATTGATAAGCGCAGTGGGCGATGGATGATATAAGTAAATAATAAAATGAAATGCAGCAAGTATGCGAAATGCGAAACGAAATAAAAATAATGAAATGAGAACAAAACAACATACCAGAATCGAGTTATATACATATATGTATTAATAATATATATAGTATATATAAATTTTAATTTTGTACAGCATACGTGAAAAGATCTATGAGAAATAAAACGATACCAATACGTATACAAAGCTGATACGAGCCCAACCACATGCCACGCCCACAGGGGGCGCATTGAGACGCATGCCCCGTATTCAAATTTCATCCCGATTTACAATTGTTTCCCTTCTGCTGGTTGTCACTATTATGCCTATGCCTAATCCTATTCTTCTACTTATAATTGTTGTTCCTTTTTTTTATTATTATTATTTGTATTTGTTATTGTTATGATTATTGTTATTGTTTTCAGTGCCTTTAGACAACCTTATATCGCCCCTTATTGAACACATGATGCGCAGAGCTAAGCCGGAGAAGTTCCTCCTTGATTAGGCGCGTGATCTCGCGCTTAGCCTTCTGCACGGCCAACTCGCTGCAGCTCTCGATGGCCAAGTAGAGTTTGCGCTCCCCTTCGGGCGGATTCTTGCCCTGGGGGACGTAGGTGCCGCGTACTGTTAGACCGGCCTCAGAGTACTCGGAGATGTGGGCAAGGGCCTCCTTAGAGGTGACCTTCCAGCGCGCCTGCTGCGGGAAATCATTGATCTCGAGCTCCTCCTCGTATTTGGTAAACGAATTGGTGGTGCTGCCCATTAGAGAGCCCAGCCCATCCTCATCCTCCTTGGGCTGGTAGTTGAGCTTGTCATTGAGTTTGGCCGCCAGCTGCTCGACAACGGTGCGGGCCGTGAGCATCGGTTGGGCGGCACTGACACTATGCTGGCCCTTCATAATGGCCTCAGCGGCCACTTGACTGCTCTTCGTGTCCAAATTCTTCGTGCTGTTGATCTTGGAGGCAAGTCGTTTTGCCAGCTCCAACTTATCGGAGCCCATGGCGGCAGCGACCTGTGCGGCGGCCTGCGTAACAGCTGCCAAGGGCGTGGTATTGGTGGCAGCAATTGCCAGATTGGCGGCAGCCGCCGCGGCTGCTGCTTGAGCGGTGGCAGTTGCTAATGCCGGATTGCCACTGGTGTCCTTCACGGTACGCTTGGCCGCAAAAATTTGCTCGATCTGCTGATCAATATCGTGCTCGATGTCCTCCTCATCGTCAGAGTCGGCGAGGCCGAGAGCAGCCTTCTGCAGTTTCTTGCTCTCCTTGACCGCATTGAACTCATGCTCATCGAACTTGAAGCCCTTCCCGCTGAAGCCACCGCCGGTGTGCACCGTTTTGCCCTCGGCCTCCTGGGCGGTCTTGTAATCGCTCCACAAGGTTTGAAGCTCAGGGGGCACTGGTGTGCCGGAAAGCTCTAGGGCGCGTATAATGTCGCCAGCATAGCGGGACTGTTCGGGGGTGATGAACGTGTAGGCGCTGCCTTTGTTGCCAGCACGACCCGTGCGTCCGCACCTATGAACAGCAGTAGCGTGAATGGAGAGTAGGGTTGAGGTAAGGACATTAACTTACCTATGCACGTAGTCCTCGTAGTGATTGGGCACATCGTAGTTTACAACTAGTATGAGGTCCTTGACATCTAGACCACGTGCAGCCACCGAAGTGGCAATCAGTAGACGCACCTTGCCCGATTTGAAGTCAATGATGGTGGAGTCACGGTCGAACTGATCAATGCCGCCATGCAGGCTCATGCAGGGATATGAGGCCTTCATCAGATCGCGCAGCAAAATGTCTGCATTCTCCTGCTTGTCCACGAACACGATGATGCTGCCCTTCTCCTGATAGATGCCCAGCAGCTCAAGCAGCTTGAAGAACTTGGCCTCATCCGAGAGTATGACAGCATGTTGTTCGACATCTTTGCAGACCACCGAGCGACCGCCCACAATCACCTCGATGGGCTTCTTTAGAATGCGACGAGCTAGTGCCTCCATCTGACGTGGAAATGTGGCACTGAACATCACCGTTTGGCGATCGGGCCGCACATTGTCGATGATGCGCATTACCTGCGGCTCAAAGCCCATGTCGAACATGCGATCGGCCTCGTCCAGCACAATGTAGGTGACACGACGCAGATTCGTGACACGGCCAGAATTGGCTGCCAACATGTCAATCATGCGACCAGGTGTACAGACAATTATCTCGGCTCCACGCTTCAGTCCGGCTATTTGCTCGGAAATTCCAGTGCCACCGTAGACACAAACCGGCCGGAGGCCCAGGGTTTTGCTGAACTTGCGTATATCCTTGCCGATTTGCATGCAGAGCTCGCGAGTGGGTGCCATGATGACGGCAATGGCGCCGTCGCCATCCTCGAGCGGAGGCTGGTCCAGAATATGCCTAAACATTGGTAAAATAAATGCCAACGTCTTGCCACTGCCAGTTTTAGCAATACCTATTAGATCTCGGCCAGACATGATGGCCGGTATGGCCTGGCACTGAATGGGCGTTGGTTTCTCAAAGCCCAGTTTGCGCAGCACGTCCATCTCTTTCTTACTGACACCGCACTGCGCCCAAGTCTGCGCATAGGAAGGGGGGATATGGAGGAGCAAATTGTAGTCAAATAAGTGAGCAGAATTCATTATAGTATAAGATGAATACGCACCTTGATGGGCTTAGGGCAGCCCTTGCCCTTGACGTGCACACCCTCTAGATCGCTGCGATAGCGATCCACCTCCGATGAGGTCATACGCGTAAGTTCCGGCACCTCTACATAGAAATTCTTACGGAATGCCGCATAAGTGACCGAGGAATGATCTATTTTGGCCAACTCCTTGCGATGCTTCATCGCCAGGTTGACGGCTGTGTCGCGTATATCCTCGAGCTCATCCTCGCTAGAATACTCCAAGCTGTCCATGTTCTGTTCAATTAGTTCGCCCTTCTTCACGGTATTCGTTTTCTTTTTGGCTATGCCCGTCAGTATGACCACGCCCTGCGCCTTTTTCGGCGGACTTACAAAATGATTTATACGCCGCATCTCTTTGTTCACCTCCTGCATATAAGCGTCCAATGGGTCGACGTCGTCCTCTCTCTCCTTGCCAGGAGCCTTGCTTGCTTCGTCTTTGTCCTCGTTCTCAGGCTCTGCTGCAGCTTCGGCGTCCTCACTTTTGATCACCTCTATTTCTGTCTGCGCTTTCGGTGCTTCTTTAGTGGTTTCAGAGGAATTAGAGGTGGCTGTTGCCTCGGCCGGCTTTGTGTCGTTTTCGGCTTTTATGACAGGCGGTGCAGGTGCCGCTGATGTCGATCCTTTGACAGGGGAGCTGACTTCCTTGGATTGATTGCGATTTGTAGTCGCAGTTTTGAACGAGGACAGCATAAGACCTGAAGAAGGCTGCGTACCCGTATTTAGGCTTATAACTTTGCTAAATCCACTACGTTTCAGGGGCGAGAATGATTCGACAATGTCGGGATCTTCGAATTGCTTGCGTATGCTGTGGAACTTTGATGGAGGCGAGTCGGGCTCTTTTTTGGTGTCTATGATGGGCGCATGATTGCTGTCATCCTCTTCGGACTCGTCCTCAAGACTCCACTTTTTGGCCGTCTTTACGACGGCAGGCGCACTCGGTTTGCTCTCGCGCTTGACCGCCTCCAGCTCCTTGAGTTTACGTTCAGCACGCCAGCGTTCGATACGCTCCCTTCGCTTGATCATCTCCTGCTCCAGCCGCCTTTGTTGCTCCTCCTTGTCGATCTCATCTTCCGACGAGCTGGAAGAGGGCACGGGTATGACAACGGGTGCGGCGTGCGTGTTATATCGTGTCGAACCTTCCCGCTGTCGATCACGATCTCTCTCGCGCTCCTTCTCACGTTCACGCTCCTTTTCACGATCTCTGTCCCGCTGGCGTTCACGTTCTCTGTCCTTTTCACGCTCCCGTTCCCTTTCTCGATCGCGCTCCTTATCCTTATCACGGTCTCGTTCGCGCTCCGGCTGCCGCCTGTAAAGATGCATTTCAGAATATCTACTCATCACAAATGGGCGCTAACTTACTTGTCCTTATCATAATCCTTAGACCTAGAACGTTTTCTTCGCTTCTCATCTCGACGACGGTCAATGTCTTTGCTCGCCTCTTTGCCACGCTTTCGATCGTCCCGTCCTCCACTACGCAAATTGCTGCTCAATCCTCCACCATTCCGGGACGATTTGCCTTGGTCGTAGTCCTGCAACCGAGCATCGCGCTTGTCACGCTCACGATCCCTGTCCCGCTCACGCTCCCGGTCTCTGTCACGGTCACGCCTACTTGGAAACGGGCAGTTAATTTATGCCAGGTTAGAAGCGGATCACATATCAGAAATAGTTACCCAGAGTTTTTGGACATTTTATAGTTTTGTGTTACGCCTGCAAAAATAAACCGGTACTCGATAAGGCGCTACCACTTCGGACTTCGTGTACCTTTGTATACGCAACACTTTTAAATGGTCAATCAGCTAAAGTTAAGCGAAAGTAACGCAGATGATAAGCAAATGGCGCTTAAAATTAGTTTTTCACACTTTTACTGTAAAATTGTCTTCACAACAAATTATTGTAATCGCTTAGCCGTGCATGCAAGGCTATCGATGACACCGCATGTGCTGAGCTGTGTTTAGGTGTCAGTGACTACGTCACAGGTGAAATCACACCATAACTGTGACTGAAAAATGTACGGTGGCAGCACCGGCAGCACACAGATGGGACAATTAGCGCACGTGTTGGTGCGTAAACAATCGACTTGCAATACAGACATTTCTGCTATTGTCAAGTTATGCTACCTAACATTGAAATAATCGTGGGCACCTACGAGGAGTTCCTTCTCGGCTACCAACTAAAACAGCAATCAGAGGAGGATGGGGACCAAGTCGTTCTCAAGCAAACGTTTGCCGACAAATCGCACGCCGGCTCCTTGAAATGCGTTGCAGTGCAGGGTCCCTGGATAGCGAGCGGCGGCAGCGATGATCGCATCTTTGTGTACGACATGCGCACACGGAAGCAATCGCAGATCCTGCTCTCCCACTCGGGCACCATCAACAGTTTGGTCTTTTCACCGGATCTGACACATTTATTGTCGGGCAGCGCCGATGGCCATATGATAGCCACGCGTGTCGGCAGTTGGAAAACTGAGGGTGATTGGCAGAAGGCCCATGCGGGTGCCGCCGTCACCCACGTTAGTTGTCATCCCAGCAGCAAATTGGCACTTTCATTGGGCGGCGATCAGGTGTTGCACACTTGGAATTTGGTTAAGGGTCGTGTCGCATACAAGACGAATCTGAAAAGTAAATCCACCCTAGGCAGTGCACCAGACTGTCTGTGCTGGTCTCCAGATGGCGAGCACTTCACCCTCAGTGGTCCCCTAGTCGTGGAGATTTGGGAAATCAAAAAGGCCGGTGTAGCACGTCGTGAAAAAACGCCCGCCAAGCCCATCTGCGTGGCTTGGCTAAATGGACGCGTTTGCTTGGCGGGCCTTGAGAATGGCAGTATTGTGTGGATCTCGCTTGACGCTCCCGAAGATGAAGCAGTAAGTTACCCAAGCAAATGTCTGGAGCGATTTTTTCTATAATTTGTTTCTGTGGCAGGCAAAGAACATATCGGCTCACGAGGTACGCATTAAGGCCATGTCCTATTTCGACGGCACACTGGTCACAGCCTCCAGGTATGTTAACGGTTTCATTTGTAGTTGCCATTGCTCACAGCCCACCCTTTTTCTTGAACCAGTGCCGGGGAACTCAAAATCTGGAGCTGCGACATCGAAAAGCAAGAACTCGAGCATCTTACCAGCACCAACATTGGCTGTCGGCCCACTTGTATGGCTCTGCTGGATCTCTCCAGCTTCAAAAGTGAGTGCCCACAGACTAGCAAAGTGGTGGCGCCCAAGCACACCAACCAAGAGAAGTCAAATGTGGTTGCCGCGCCCAAACCTCGTGGCGTTGTGACTATCGAGTTTGAGCAAGACGAGAATCCCACTATTGAAGATGATGACAACAGCACCACAAGCGATGACACAGATAGTGCAAAGAAGTCAAAAACAAATCACAAGAAATTAAAACAAGATGAGGAGTCTGTTGGCCAATCCGATGATGATGATTGCGAGAAGAGCGACGACAGCATTGCCGATTTCTCAGACAGCGAATCTTTCGGCACAGATGGCTTCAGCAATGATAGCGACAGTAATCAGCGTCCCGCACAGCGCAAGCGTAGAAATCCCACGCCAGTGGGGGCCAAGAAAGCAAAACCAAAGCAGGCAAAGAAGGAGTAAAACATACTCAAGTAGTTGTACTTTAACTTTATTTTATATTTAATGCCAGCCAATAAACGCAAGTCTGTGTCAAAAGATTAATATTCTCCTTATGTATTTAATATCAATTACCATTCCATTGCAAAGCATTAAACATCATCGTGGGTGCTGTGGGGCGTTGGACGTGGACTTATCCATGAAAATTTGTCTTGTATCTGCAGATAATTATTATAAGTTTGACAATGGCTTCAAATTAAAAAGCCAATAAGTTCTTTAAGCATAATGGAACGACAGGAGGCCCCTACTCTACGCGTTGTTACTATTTTTCTCTCTACAACCTATAATATCGAACATGTTCCGAATTGGTTTCCTAGAAACAACCTTAATTATAAAAATAGTACCTAGGATTTTCAGGCACTAAGGTAAGAATGAACTGCGATATTTTATATCTGACGAGTACTTAAATTCTATAACCACTATTCTATTATTACTTTCTAACACAGAACAGTTTATAGAGCGATCCCTTCTAATCTAGATCTGTCCTTTTAAAAATTGTTTCAGCATAAAAAAAGGTTCAAACATCCTCTATCTCGAAAACTATCCTTTATTGTGGACTGACTTAGAATTTTTCACTAAACTAGTTGTCCGGTTTTTCTGTCGTTTTTCAAATTTACTATCCTTTTTTCCCCGCTGTCTCTTTGTCCTTATTTGTGTGCAGAGACGGGAAATAATTAGCTCTGATAATTGCATTTTTATTACATATTAGTTATTTATATAACATTTATAACAATTTTTATGCAAAACTTAATTTGTATACATTGGAGAGGAGCTCGAGGTCCCCAGTTATTAACAAGAATTTCGTTTCGAGGCCAAGTCGCGCGCTTTGTGACACCGAAAAATGTGATTGGGGGAGGGGAACTGGACATGACATGACATGACAGAAATTTTGCGGCATCATGACGATGCTGGTGATGGCCAAACTCAATTGGCCATAAAGTAGTGTAGTAACTTAAGGTAAATGCGCTCCAGCAGCGGCCAGAAATGCTCGAGCAGGAAGTGCAGGATGTGTCTAAGTGGCGGGCACAGCGTGCAAATGTAGTCCGTGAGGGCGTCCAGCACGCGGAGCAGCAAGGGTCAGTTGTTGCGCTCCAGCTGGATGAAGATGCTATTGCTGCTGGTTGCTACCGCATTGGGATCTCCACCTTCGCCGCCGCCGCCGCTAGTGCCACCGCCATCATCATCACCATCGCTGTTCGCATCGCTGTCATAGCGAGAATCGTCGCGCTGGGCACAGCTGTGGGTCCAGGGCATCGGCTCTTGAAATTTATTGATGTGAGCCAAGTTTTGATAGATATAGAGGCGTGGGTTATCGACGTAAGAGGCACAGTCGTAGCACCAAACAGACAGATCTCTAAAGCTCAGCACCAGTGGATGGTGCACGCGATGGAAATGCTGCTCCATGTGCTCATTCACGTAGTGGCCGCAACCGATGGCGAAGCAGCTCAGGCACATCCAGTTCTCCTCCGTTGAAGCGCATTCGGTGCACACCGCGCTTGTGTCTATTGCTGTGCGCAGAACATGTAAGAGAGTGTTCAAAAGATTAGTGAGGAAAAGGGTAGACCCCATTAAAAAACAGCAACCAACAAAGCAATCGACTCAGCATACATATGTACAGCAATCTGAACGGAAAACAACAAAACGCAAGCAACTACGATCCTTGACTCTATGGAGGAGTCATCGGAAATTAACATATACATATGATCACATACATACATATGTACATATACTTGTACAAGTAGAAAAGTAGAACCCAAAGAAACATTCGCAAAAGAAAGAGCAACCAAAAGAAAAAACAAACACCATCTTCGACAAGCCGAAGAGTAAATTATTACTATATAAATGTAGATTCCTATAATCAAATACCGTTTCCAGATGTGTTTAAAAATAGAGATGTCTCAAAGAAAAAGCTTCCTAGAATGCCTGACAATGTTTTAGATTTCAGTTTTGTTTAAAAAAAAAAGCTCCAATCTGATGATATTTATTTTTAACATAGATATGTATATATGAAATGGGTCTAGAAAACGAACTAGTGAGTATTTTCAAATCGTTTTCCAATCACTTAATAATATATTTATAATGTGGGTATTTCATCCGCATCGGGTGAGTTCAGAATTTACTATTTCGGCAAATTCCAATCTGTTGCCTATTAAATATTGGGCCGGAAACGCAATCCAGAAAACTACAGAATAACAGACAGACGGAAGAGCTTGTAATAGCTCTTGAAGTTATATATACATATTTTTCAAATACTCTACACAAAGGCTATTCATAAAGCTGGTTTTAGAAATGGCGGGGAAAACATATCAGAAAAAGCAAAAGAGATAGACGGATGAAGAGAAAGAGAGAGGGAGCACAGAGTGCTGTGTTTTATTGTTTTTGGAGATTCGATGGGGTTGCTTACATTGCGGCGCCTCCTCCGGTCGCAATTGACTCAAGTGCGGACAAGTCTTGAGCGGATAAATGGCAAACATTTCTTCCTGCTCGAGCGCCTGCTCTCAGGCAAGCAACGAAATATAAAGAAATGGGTTGTGCGAATAAGATGTAGTGAGAAAGAGAGAGAGATATACAGATTAGTTGCTTTAAATCACGCCTCACTAGAAACGATTCGATCAGCTCGTACCTCCTTGTGCTCCGCCATAAACTCGGTCAACGTTTTTACCTTGACTTTGGGTTTGCTGCCACTCGGCCGCTCGACCCCAGAGCCGGCACGATCGCCGCCTGGTCCGCCCGCCGCGCCTTGCGCATCGTCATTTGAAATATTTAACTGCTGCAAGGTAGCAGTAAGAAAATCCTCGTTGTTGTTCTCGCTTACAAACTGCGGCAGTTTGCTACAGAAGGCCAACGATTTCCAGAATTGTCGCTGCGTCTGCAAACAGCTCTGCAACGTCTCCAGGCAGCTCAGATACGCGACCGTGGGTGGTCGTGGTGCGGCTGCATTGAACTGGGGTGTCGGTATTGGATCCCCAAGCAGCGTCTTCGTACACATGGTCATGGCATAGGAAATGGAATTGACATTGTAGCCGCCCTCCAGACAGACAATGATGCGCCCGCCGGCCAGCGCAGACAGCCAGTGGGTGAATAGGCCATAACCCTCGGGAGTCACTTTGCAGCCACCCAAGGGGTCACCAATTGCGGCATCGAAGCCCGCCGAGACGAGCACCAGCTGCGGATCGAACTCGTACGCAATGGGCATGATCAGCTGCTGGAAGGCCAATGCATACTCCAGATCCCCCATGCCCTTCTGCAAACAAAAGGAATATGTTAAGATGGTAATATATCGTACTTAACTAAAAAAAAATACTTAAGGGTTTCATTATGAATGAATAATTGTGCTAATTCATCATCAAGGAACTTCCTCTACGGACAAGTGGTAAGAATAGCCTTAATAGCTTGCTTTAAATCATATTATTTGGACAACAGGAACTATGTTCAGGAGAGTTACAGTTAAGAACCTACGCCGATCTATCCATTTATTAAGTGGCATTGAAAAGTATTCTGTTAACTGATAGTATTAACTTTTGACAGGAATTATCGATCGCCAAATAAATGCTAGAGCAATGTAGGAATGCGGATACAACATATCTAGCTACCTAGTTTTAAAACTGTTCTTTGAAATATTGCAAGTGATTTTCAATTCCTAGTTCTAATGCAGAAGTATTTACCTACGTAGTATATTAGGAGTGTGTTTTAAAAGATTGAGACTCATTCTTCTTGTCACACCACATTTAAAACTGTTGGCGGATTGGAAACGAGGCACGCACCTTGTTCCACGGTATGTTGACATTAAAACCGCGGCCAGCCTGCTTGCCCACCACATCGTAGTTGCCGTCCGGTCCCTTGGGAAAGAAGCTGCCGTGCTCGTAGCGATGGATGCTCATGTACAGGACCTTGGGATTCGATTCGAAGATGTGTTGAGTGCCATTGCCATGATGCACATCCCAGTCGACAATGAGTACACGCTGCAGTCCGTAGTCGCGTATGGCATACTGAGCGGCAATGGCCACATTATTGAATATACAGAAGCCATGCGGCTGATCGGACTCGGCGTGATGGCCGGGCGGACGGACAATGCAGACGCCACTGCGAGCCTTCGCCTGCATAACACTGTCGACTACCTGGAGCACTGAACCAACCGCCAAGGTCGCACAGTCAAAGGTGCGCGGATGGAAGTATACCGAGTTAAAGTTGGCGCCCACTTCCTGCAGCTCCTCGCGCTCACGGCCCAGCAGGCGACGAACAAAATTCAGGTGGGAGCGAGTGTGAGCCAAACAGACCTCGTCCGTCGTCGCTACGCGCGTCCCCACGCGTTCCATTCTCGCCAGTAGCTGATACTCGTCGTGCATTTGGTAGATCTGACGTATGCGCTGCGGCTGCTCCGGATGGTCTGTGTCGTGAAGATTGCAGTGCTCAAGCATTTGCTCATCGTAGGCGTAGCACACACGCACAGGGGGCGTGGACAGACGTGTCTCCGCTTGCAGCAAACGCAGGCGCTCTAACTTGCGAGCCGTCACTTCCGGTGGTATGCACGGCGCCGTATCGCGGGTGGGATAACGATCAGGGGGCGGCGGTGCGCCCAACCAGGTGCGTTGCACTCGATGCAGTGGCGCGGCACCCGGCAATGGCTGTACATTGTTCAGTTCCTCGACAGTGTACTGCTGCTGGAGTTGAAGGCAACGCCAGTACGGACGATGCGTAAAAATGCAGTTCAGGATAGCTTCGCAAGCTTCGGGGCAAGGCAGCTCCACATGCTCCACCAGGGGCGGGCAGGGATCACCGAGCAAGGCACGCAAGGTGAGGGCTGCACCCTCGGCCAGAGATTCCAGACAGTAGCCGCCCTCCAGAATGACGGCCACACGTGACTCCGCGAGGGAGAGCAGTGGATTGAGCAGATGTGGATAGCAGGCAGGTGTGACCTCCATTTCACCCTCTGGACAGCCCAACGCTGCATCGTAGCCGGCAGACACGATTATCAGCTCCGGCTGATACTCTAACGCCACGGGCAGCAGTATTTGTTGGAATATCGCCAAATAATCGCCATTTCCCATGCCAGTGGCATTCAGCGGCACATTGAAGTTGTAGCCCGTGCCGCTGCCCGCACCGATGGCGAAGTAGTCCGACTCCTGCAGATTGGGCCAGAAGCTGCCATGTTCATAGCGATGTATCGAGAAGTACAGCACTCTGTAGGTCGCAGAAATACGTGAGAGGACTGGTTCCACATTGCTTTATTACAATTACGCACCTGGGATCATTGTAGAAGAATCGCTGGGTGCCCTGGCCGTGGTGGACGTCGTAGTCAATTATCATCACACGCTGCAATTTGTGATCGTCTAAAGCATGCTGCGCGGCCAGCGCCACATTGTTGAAAAAGCAATAGCCATTGAACTCGGACTTCATTGCATGATGGCCAGGGGGCCGTATCACAGCCATTCCATTCTGAAGACGACCCTGCAGTATCAGATCCACCAGCTCTATGGTCGAACCGCTGGCCAGCAGTGACAGCTCGAAAGTGGACTGCATTATGAAATGATGTGTGTAAGTAGGGCAGGTAATAAACGGTCTGATTGAACACACTCACCGGATGTATATAGATGGAGTCAAAGTGTGAGCTTAGATCTTCCATGAGCTCGTCATCGCGCACGCCTGATGTCTGCTCCAGTCGTTCGTAATGCGACGCCGAGTGCAGTTTGAGGATCTCGGATTTAAGCGCGGGACGAGCGGGCAATAGCAAGCAGCGATCGACGAGTTTCAGTTCTCGGCAGCTGTAAGTTCATGAATAGAAAGAGAGAAATACATACATATGTACAAGTATGTATACATATATGGAATAATTTAAAATGCACACCCTATAGACGGATTGTTAGAACTACTTGGGCGCAAGTTTAAGAATTTCGGGATAAAACAATTGAACAGAAATGAGCTCAGGAGTTATCTAGTCGACCACATTATTCATTATTATGGCGCACTGTTTTGCCTTAAAATGGAACTGAGTTGTATTTGTTGAAGTTTTTTCATTGATCATATGCATCAATTATTTTTTAAATGCATCGTGCATTATTTAATCAACATTTTAATTTTTTGGCCCGCCCTTTGTATAACTATAAACAACTTTAGGTGTGAAAACGAATATCGCATACAATAACAAGGCTGTTTATAAAATCTAAAATGTATTCTCTCCTTAGCTTAAAGTACCTTTTGTAGAGTATTCCCTGTTGCTATAGAAGTACAAGTGTGATTTTAGCACTTCTTAATCTAATCTAACACAATAAGCTAGACAGAGCAATAACAAAACAAGTAACGAATAAGTTTATGGTATATATACATATATAAAAACGCGAGCACAGAAAGCATATTGCTACGATACAGGGGTTTTGAATGATACGCTTCGATACTAAGTATATCGGAACACACAGCTATGGTCAGATTTGACCTCCATTTAACTAAGTTCTGGGCTTAAAAGACTGCGAAAGAACCATAAACCCATGTCACTCATAAATTATATAGGGGGTCCCTTTCAGAATTATATTTGTGAAAGCGTAAATTGATTGTTTTCATTTCAGATACGAATTAGTGAGATATAGTGCTTATATGGATAAGAAGAATATTTGGAAAAACTGCCGTTTTCATGATTAGATTTCTCTTCTATTTATCTTTTATGTGGTGTATAAATTTTGTCTATCCTACGCTTTGCAGAATTTTCTAAAAAACATTTGTATATTATTTTAAAAGAAGACCCAAGAAATTGCGTTCGTCTTTCTATTCTAGATGGAAGCTTCGCAAGTACTTACCGCTCCATAACACGCGTGAATCGTTCTGGACACTCGGGATGCTTCGGATCCCATAGACAACAATGTTGGCTCATGGTTTCATCATATATCAGACCTGTGGGCTTTCGCTGCATGCCCTTGGCCTTGACAGCCTGTTGGAACAATTGGGATATAATGAAATGCCGTCCCATGCTACTTGTATACCGCAGAAGATGTCGGATACTTACATTTGAAAAGATGTCGGTAACAGTGTCTGCATTCATGTTGGAACAATTATTCTGGTGCTTCAACAAGCGAGCTCGCCGTTTTGCCTCCAAAAGGGCTGCGCTCGGTTTGCGCGATTCGTTTCCCGTCGAGCCATGAGAGCCGCTGCCGGCGCTGCTGCCAGTAGCCGACGTCGCTCCCATAATAGAGACGACCCCCGACGTCGCTACCGACTTTGATTTAACCATAGCCCGCGTTTGTATTTTTGCGTTCTGTGCACCGCGTCGCGTTACGATTGGCGAGCTCTGCGAGATGGATTGCAATGTGGAGGGAGAGAGGACAAGTGATAATGTTAAAGTTCAAAAACAGTCCTCTCAGCTCTTCAGTTGTCGCGCATAACGGGTGTCGCCGCTTGTGTGCTTATCAAGATTAGAATATGAGGCCAAAGGAGCTTGAATTAAGCGTTTTGTATGGGATTGGCGGTTTGGTTGACTCGTGTTCGATCCGTCGGACCCGTCAGTAAGTGTATTACTTGAATTGTAGTGCCTATCTGCGTCAAAAAATTACTGAAATTCCGCTTAGCCCGCACATATATAACGATTTAAAACGTAACTCATGGCATACTTTGCTTACACTTTTTCGGCCACGAAAATATTGCATTATTTCCAAGCTTTGATTAATTCGAATCTTTTAAAAATCGAGATTTCTTCGGTTAATTTAGATAACTATCTAGTACTTTGTTTATTGTATTTATTTTGAACCCCCGTAATTTTTATGTAGTCTCAGGCGAAGCACAATTTTGTACTTTTCGAATGTTTCAGATCTGAAATCTTTAGCTGACAAATTTAAAATACTAGCTCATAGTGTGAAAACAAAAAATACTTTTCTATTTGTATTGTAATTAAAGTTTTGGAACTTTTCAAAGCTCTGTGAAATTACATTTTTGAAACCCCCAACATTACATAAAATAAGAATATCGCTTAAGATGTATACAAAGCTACGATCTAGAATACAATTTCAGAAATAAGCGTTATTTGAAAATTGAATTCGCACAATACATACTATATGTACTATATAGCTTGCTGCTCTGGACTCTGAAGTAGAAAGGTACTTTGATGACAATTCCATATGCTCCAAAAAAAAAATCAATATCGCCCTTTTACAAGTAGTCTCAAAACCCTAAACTTAAACTATAGTTGAAAGTCTGACAATGAAACAGAGTTCAGCTTAAAATCAGCTTTCTATTCTAGGTTTTAGTGTAGTGTCATGAGCCGATTAAATGGAATTAGGGGGCTAACAAATATCAATTTGGAGCTATTTTGTATCTGGATCGATTGGTCGAAATAATTAATCTACATTCCGAAGCTAATCATAAATTGGGTGCTGATAAGAAGCAACACCCTTTATATAAAGCCACCAATGTATGTATGTACGAGTACATATAAGTATGTTTGTATGAATTACATAAAGCTGTACGTTACACACGCTTTACAGATAGCTGAACACAGTCGGGCCCAGATGCCGAGGGATGGCGAGGGGGAGAACAGAGAGAAGCAACAGTGGCGTGTAATTAAATATAACAACTCGTTGCGGTTCTCACTGCACTGGTTCCGGATAGCGTTTATGGTGGTTGTGAAGTGATGCTAATACTGGTGCACGGCCAATATAACCGTATAAATTAATTACCAATTTTGCAATTTACCGCACGGACCGCAAATTGAAATTAAAACAGTTGCGCATAAAATCACCGCTTTAACTGAATTGAGGGGAACCATTTGAAATGGCTCGATGGTGGCTAACAAGCTAGCTTTGTTGGCCTTACTGGCATCTTGTTGGCTGGCTGGTTGGCTCATGTGCGCATGTGTGGGTGGGTGTTGTTGCCGCATTTGGCTGATTTATCGAAAAGTTGAGTCAGCCCAAAAAGGCGCGAACGGTTGTCAACAGTTTTGAGCAGCTCGGAGCGAGCGCGTTGCATTTGAGCCACAGACTCAGACTTACCATTTTCTAGCTAAAGTTGTTGTTGTTCTTTCTGTTGATGTTATGCTGTTGTTGTTGTTGTAAATGCCGCTGTTGCTAATGCTGTGTAGGCTGCGAGCAACTTGTTGTCGAGAGCTTTGTGGGCGTCTATAAGGTGTCGATGATGGTCGGCAGCTTTGCAATGCAGCAAGTTTTCAATTCAGCTTCAATTGCTGTTTATCGTTCTTGTCATTCGCGTGTGTGAGTGAGTGTGTGGTGTGTGCGTCTGTGCGAATTGATTCACAATGAGTGCGTAAGTGCGTCGCGGGTGTGTGCTTGTGTGTGAGAGCGCGGGCTTGTTGTTTGTTGTAATACTTATATTTGTTTCGTTGTCAATGTTGCGTGATAAGCGGCCACGATTTTTTTTCTACTTATATTTATCGATTTAAACTATAACTTGTCTCTTATTAACTAGCTATGCTATATTGTTTAACTATGCTTTATATATCACTCCTCCTCTTTTACTATTCCTATCTTGCTTGCTTTCACGCTGCGCCCGCAATGCTCTTTATTTCTAGCTATGTACATACATATGCACGTATGTATTGTAATGTATGTATGTAGCTCTCCTGCTGCTAGCCTGCTGGTCGCGCTTCAGTTGATTTTTTTTTATGCGTACTCTGGTTCTCAGTTTCTACGTTTTGGTTAGCCTTCAGTCGTTGTAATATAAATATACCATTATATAGTGCACACACACACGCACGTATCTAATATGTTTATTGTAATAATAACAATGCGCACTGTATGTATGGGTATGTGTATGTTTATGTGTAAGTGCGGCTGTGGCAACGTGAAAAAAATATGAAGCGTTCTTTTCCTTCGAAATAGCAACGTTCGGGAGCTGGTAACACGAACACACGCACACAACTAGAAGGATGGATGGGCCAGAAACAGCTGCAGCCAAAGATTGGTGCGAATTGAGATACAACACAAGACCAGGCAAAACGAGTAATCAATGCGCGAGTGTGTGTGGATTGTCGGTTCGCGGGCGGGTGGCGGCGACGACAGGCGGCAAAGTAATGTTTGTGTGTGCTCTTCTTCTTCTCGGCTATGTCTGCCCATATGTTTTGCAAGCTGTGTGTATTCACAATAGCGCACTTGTTGAATAATCGTTTTTGCGAGACTTATCGAGTCGCAGTTGGGTAGCCCTGGCTAGATTTGTAACAGCTGTTGGCGCGCTATTCAGAACGTATCAATTTTCCTCTATTGGCGAATTTCTAGGTTTTTTTTTTACAATTTTAATGTAATCCATCTATGGCTATGCTGCCGTTAGTTGAGGAGGATATTCCAGAATTCCTTCTTAAGCGCAACAATATTGCCTTTTGTAATAATCTGCGTTTGCGGGGAAAAAACAAGACCACTTTGATTCTAACCCGTACTCTAAAGTTCTATGAGTTTCGCAAGAAGGAGCTACTACACTATATAGACTTAAGTGGCACCTGCTTGAAAAGCGTGGCCAACGAACTACAGTCCTATGACGGTCCCATAAGCAGCTTCCTCATCCCCGAAGACCTGGCTACTACCAGCAATGAATCGATCTGCTACACTATGCTGCGTGACGCCGAAGGGCTGCCCCTCAGCCTGGGCAAGTACGTGTGGCAGGGCGAGCATGTGTACGTCTTGCTTCGCTGCTGGCAGATACTCATTGTGCTTCGGCGACCGACATTGCATGGCGCCAACTTTGAGCTCAAAGCAGAGTACAACAATGTGCAGGACTACAGGATAGTGCGAGCAGAGATCGAGTATCAGGCCCAGGTGGAGCTACAGTTTACGAATGGAAAGCGCAAATGCACTAACTTCGAGGATGGCTCAAATGCAGTAACTAAGTTGGACACACACGTGGACTATAGTAGCAAGACGTTGGAACGTCTGGGGCAGCGTGTAAATGAGGCTCGCGCCGAGTTCAACTTGCAGCGCGCCAACACCCAACAGGACTTTCAGCGCGTACGAGATCTGGAGACTTTTGGAGCGCCGGGTCTGCGGTCGCCTCTGCTGGAAGAAAAACAACTGCTCTCGCGTTGTGGCGATGTGTGGACGCGAGTCTGTGGCGATTACCTGGTGCTGGGCACACTGCTGGCAAACAGTGCGGGCACCAATCGTTTGAGCATTGCGCGCGCTGTCCGCCCACTGCTGAAACTGGAACCAACAGAAGGCCGCGAGTCGTGTCAGGGCTATAACTATGCTTATCGTCTGTATGAACTGCCACCGGCTAGGGATGGCCAGCCACCAGAGGACTATGATGAGCTGGCGCAGTTCTGGGCGAATCAGCAACAAGAACAGCGTGCTCGTCGTTTAGATTGGCGTGCTCTAACTAAACCCCAAGTAATGCCCGAGTGCACAGCCGTGTTGCTGGTTCGTCTTCAACTGCAAGACTTGCTGCTGCTTGAGCGGCTGCAGTTGCTTGCTCTTTACGAGCTGCTCAATTCGGACGGCCGTAGCAGCAGCTCTAGGCAGCTCTTCGTCGCCACCATCGATGTATGTCAGTTACTGAAAGAACATTGCCAGCACGCTCCCAGCTTTGCGCCCAGCTCCATGCATCAGGACTTTCTGGCAATCGTCATGACGCAAACCGCTCACTGTGGCCTGAATCTGAAGTTTAGAGACCCACAAGCTTGCAAGGAGTTCGAGCAGCTGCTTGTCAGTAGCTTGGGCTTTGAGGCGTTCCAAAATAAGTGTGACAACAACGGTGTTAAGGGTGTGTTCCAAATACCTTCTTTACAGCTTAATTGGGCAATAAATAGTAGAGGTGGAGGGTGGATTATGGACTACAAATCTGAATTATATGTAAAAATGCTAGGAATACAACCTTATCTAGTTCTTTATTTTTATTTCGCTTCTCAGAAGACGATATGGCTACACAGCTGTTTGATGTAACTCGTTTGGATTTCAATCATGGAAGGGATAACGAATCTAGCAATTCCAGCTGCCAGAACATTTTCTACAATCGCCAGCCCCTATCGCAATGGTGTGGGACTCTACTTCTACACGATGAAGCTGGAGAGGAATGGCAAATATATTCCCGAAGTGAGGCAATGTTGTGTCTGCTGCTGCGTCTCTTGTTGCGCGATATGCTGCAGCTGCATTGCAACGTCACGCTGATACGGCTTAAGAATGAATGCAGTACGCCGGAGGCCACGGCTCTTCACTTTGAGGCGGCACTTCGTGATGAGCTTCACGCATGGCAGTTGTCGTTACAGGAAACGAATGACACCAAGGAGCTGATAAGCAGGCAAACACATCTGCTTGATCGCCAGCTTGTCACTGATTTGATTGTCCAGGAAATTAAGTCGCAATCGCCTACCGAGGCTTAGTCAACGAAACTGTACATATTATTAGGTCTATAACAAAATTGATCCATATTGGATAAGAAGTAATTAATATATTTACACATTTATTTGTTTATGTGTCGTAAGGCTTAAAAAAATGAATACAGTAGAGGTTTAGTTTCATACGAACTAATCGAAGAAATTATTCAATCATTTTGGGAACATACAATACTATTGGAATATGAAATTCAAGAGAACCAAATCGTTTCGGTCTCATAGACCTGCGACGTTAGCTGCGAATTGTCCGCCACACATATACATAAGTCATTAAATATACGAATAATCAAGTCAAACATAAAAATATCTGCCATAAATGACACTGCTCTCATTTTGAAATGCTTAACCGTAATTTTTACACTAGCACTTAGTGATTGGAAGGCTTTAGAAATATTTTAAATATGCCGATAGACTATGTGCTGCAGCGTCGCTGCTGCTCCTCGCTCTTAATGATGCTGTCCAGCACATTTTCCAGGTTTTGGGTGGCTGCCGACAACTCGGCATTGTCACTGTAAGAGTCCTCGACAATTTCCTTAACTTTGTGCAGCAGTAGCTTAAAGTTTGTCATTTCGGTATCTCGCATATCGAGGGAATGCGACTGTTCCATTAGAGTGTCGAGCGTTATGGGCAACGATAGAGGGGCGGGCAGCGAGCTGGGACCCTGATTGAGGCTAGACCTACGCTGATCGAACCATAAACTGAGATCGTTCAGCGAATAGTCCGATTTGTTGGCCTCTAGGTAGCTGCGATTCAAGTCGGCGCCATTTACTGAAAATATAATGAAATTAGCTTGCGGATCTGGATCTCGGGTATAAGCTTAGCTCACTGGAATGCGATAGATTGGCGCCAACGGGTGCGTAGACATCGTAAATGTTAGTGGTGGGACAAGGCATTGTCTGAGGCTGTATGGGAGCAGACACTACAAAGCGATGTGGTGTGCTTGCCGTAAGAAAAGTGGAACTCATCTGGGGCACAACTGCATTCGAGACGCGCTGAAAAGAGTAAAACACAACTCTTTTGTTATCTTGATGTTAAGTAAAGATTCCATCATTGCTTACCGACAACTGACGCATGTCCTCAATAATTTGCAGCAAAAATGTTTGATGGGCACTTAGAAATTCAGAGATTTGTGCGCTGGATGTTGTGGACAACAATTTAAGTTGCATTTCCAATTTGCTGCGGAAGTAAATATTTAAATATGAGATCTACTATGTGTAAAGCAGAATTGTGCAATTAATTGGAATATATATGGCAAAGATCAAATGAAATAATCCAAATCAGTATAAGTGTTTAGATTGGAAAAACAAATCAAGAATTCAACTGATTCTCCAAAGAGTAGGTATACTACGCAAAATACTCCAAAAGTGTTGTTCCTACAAGTATGAAGAAGCTAAATAGCAATTGTTTCCCCTTTTAAAGTTAATTATTAATTTCATTACGATTTGAGAGCAGTGGTTTTGATTCAGAAAAGCGCTCCACTTTTATGTTGTTCGAATTGTAATTTGATAGTTAAAATTGTTGGGTCTGTTTCGCAAAAAAAATGTATGTATATACATTATGTGTGGACAGAGGGTGATTCTTTTGCGAGAGACAATTGAAGAACTTACACATTTTGCTGCAGCAGTCGATCAATAATGGACTGCAAGCGTTCCGAGGCATTGCTGGCTGTGGTGGCTAGACCGGTTAGAGAGCCTGCAAGCAAAGGAGATAGACAAACAGATTTAAATGCTTATTTAATGATTTTGCTAATGAGATACCCACATAGTTCCTGTTGCTGCTGCAGCTGTTGTTGTTGGATCTTCTGTTGTGGCAGTTTCTCCTGCTGCTGTTGCTGCTCTAGCTGCTGTTGCAGAGGCGTCTCTTTTAGACGCAATGTGGTATCGCTACGAATGCTGGGCGACTCAACGGGAATGGGCGCCAGCTCTGTGCCTGCGGGACCAGGGGAGCCAACAGCGCCTAAGGCAGCGCCACTTTCATGGGCATTGCAAAATCCACGACGCTCTTCCTCCTCGGCCTCGGCACGTTGTGTCTTCTGCGTAAAGGACAGCCAGCCACAGAGACGTGCCAGGCAGTATGTCCAACGTTTAGGGGGCTGGTCCTCCGCAAAGACCTCGCACATGCGATGAGTTCGCTGGTGCTTGCTGTTCACAAAGCCGGTGGCGAAGCAGGGCAGGCACAGCGAAAAATCGCGACACACCTGGCACCGGAAGCGGATGCCAATAATTTGTTCTATTCGGCAACCGGCACACTGATTGCTGTGTATTAAATGCTGAGTGTCCTCGATTCGTTTAATCAGCGCCAACAGATTGGCATAAATGAGGAAGCGTGTCTGGGTTTGAGTCCACAGATTGTGGAATTGATACTCGTTGAGGCCAGCGCTGTGGTGGCAGCGGGCAAAGCACTGCTCCATCATTTGCAACACATTGTGGGATCCATAGGCCTTCGCCTCGCCCAAATAGCCAAGCAGCTTGCTCAGCGTATTCAGCAGCAGTTCGAACACATAACGCGATACGCTCTGAGACTTGGGATCTGCAAGCAGAGCATAGAAGTCGGCCACCAAATGCTCACTACTATATAGCTTGCAAAGCAGCAGGAAAGTAACTTTGATCTCCAACAGCGAAATCGAGTGTCGACGTTGCCTGCAAAAAGTTGACTTCAGTATGAGGACAAGGGCCGGATAAAAAATCCCTTGCTGCTTACGGATCGTAAATGTTCCAAAAGAAGTTTGCCAGCAGTGAGGTGGAGGTATCCAGTTGATAGTCGCATGCCTTGGAGAAATGTCCCAACTTCTCGCAGGCAAAGTAGATGTCGTGCAGCAGCGAAGTCAACTGGAATGGAGGCACCATCAGCTGCAGGTTGCCATTGCCGGCAGGCATGCCATGGCGTTCCAAAATGGCCAACACCAACTTATAGGGTATTTTGCTGGCTGTATGAAGCACTCTTCACAATTTGTTGATCACATCATACTTAAAAATACTTACTGTGAAAGATTTTCTGCAGTGCTACGAATTTGCTGGCACAACGATACACTGTGTATTTATAATTACCAAAATCCACTTGTAGTTGTGCCATAATTGCACTTAAATTGTTGTTGCCCACTTGTTGCTTCTGCTGCTGTAATTGTTGTTGTCCTTTGTTGTGCGCCAAGGCCGCCACTGCAGCGGCACTTGCACGCACCTTCGTCATTTGTGTGCACACAGCAGCCGCATGCATTTTTGAACTATTGCCACTTGGAATTTGAGAGTCGGATTTTATATTTTATATCTGCTTTTTACATTAAAACTTTCGCGTGGCGTCCTTTTTGTTTGCGCTCCTTGCGTCTTCCCACAGTATTCGTTAGCGCAAAAGTCAAATTTGAAACGCTTGTGCGGCAACACTGCTGCGCTTGCGCCGGCAACTCTATGCCAGTGAGGCCACACTGTTTCCATATCGAGCAGCCCTGGTACTGAAACAACGCTGCCGCCGGTTAAGTTTAAACATTTAAATTAATTGCGAAAAACATATAAATGCTTATGACGTATTTTAATTTAATTTATTTCAATGTTACGCTCTATTTATATGGAAAAACCTACAACACGCATAATATATATAAAAAAAATATTGTTAAACAAGATTTTGACTTATGAGAGTTGTAATTATATCGAGGGCAAACAACATTTAACAGAAATTCAGCTTGCAATCAACTTTTAATATCACAAGTTTTGATTAACTAGCCCTCCATGACCCAATAAGATTAAAATTTCAATTCTAAGTAAACAATTTAGTATTTCTCGTATTTATTTATTTTAGTTTTGGAGTGCGCAATAATTAGCATATATTTTCCAATATTAAAAATATTTCAAATTAAAAATACTTTTTCGGCGAAAAGCTAAAAATTAAAATACAAAATCAACCCACTTAAGAGTTTCACATGAGATTCGCGGAGAAGGGTGCACTAAGTATTTGAACATTTTGAAATAACAAATAAAACTGCATGATTATTTTTTTAAGTTTTTCACTTACGTATTAGTCCTATATTGAGAATCGTGGAGGATGTCTAATGCAATGGTGTTCTATTTTCAATCTGCTGGTCTACAAGCTGACAAATGATGTTTTCCCTGATGTGGCAGACTACAATGCGTTTCTGTGTTTGTTGATGCTGTGTAGAAGAACGCATTGTTGCCAAATGTCATAACTCGAAATGGCACGCAGTTGCAGACATACATATGTATACTACATACTCGTATACTCGAGAATATATATAGATATACTTGAATAGCATGGTGGGTGCATACATATATACACCTGTATACTGGAGTCTCGAGGAAAAACGGAACAATTGCTGGCGTCCAAATGCCGGACAGTGCAGGCAGGCAATAATAAACCGGCAGTCATTGACAATGTCGTTCCCATAATGGCACTCCACTGACTACCGCCGTCGCCGTCGCCGCCACCGCCACCACCTCCCTAGAACATCCCCATCGGCTGCCGGCGCTGATGAAGAACAACTGCTGCAGTGCGTCGACAAAACGAAATGACAGAGAGCGCAACACCTACAATTGTCAGCGTTGTCGTCTAAATGAATGAATTAAGTCACCCATGTGACATAACTGCAATGACCGACCGACCCACCGACCGAGCGAATCGACTCAACTTGACCTGACCCGGACGGGCCGGGTTGGGTCGGGCTGGGTCGGGCTGGGTCGGGCTGGGCCGGATTGAGCCAGGAATCGTGCAGTTCAGTTCAGGCCAACAGCAGCAACAACAGTCCCATTGTTTTGTAATTGTTGTTGTTGCTGTTGTTGCTGTTGCTACTGCTACTGCCGTCATTCTTGACGCGATTGTTGTTGCTGCTGTTGTTGGCATTATGTATTATTCTCTGCACAATGGGCGACAACATCGTTGCCAAAGTTATGTGGCACACACGTACGCCCACACTCAAGCCAAGCCCACGTACACGTACACGTACGTACAAGTGTGTATGCATGTACATGCATGTCCCGCACACCCTCGACCGCCACCCGCTCACGTGCTTGCCATCCGTTGGTCTCGTCGCGCCTCAGATTGGACGCAGTACAATAGAGGAATGCAAATGGCGAATGGACGTGGTTGAATGCACACACGGCCAGAAATAAAAGCGTCCGGTTCCACCCATCCATCACATTAGCATTAGCAACTATATTTATGTATTTATAATTAATAGATAAGTTGACCTTACTTTGCTAACAAAGCGAAATGATTTCTCCCTAATTATTATTTTGATTGTGCTTTTGCCGGCTTTGTGAAGGATTCTTCCTAAATAGGAATGGCGGGGGCGTGTTCAAAGAACTTATGGATACCACACAGCAGTGATTATTTCAATAGAGAGGGCGTTTAAGTACTTTATTAAAATTCTAATTACAAAATGAAAATACTATAGAGCGACACTGCTTAGACAAATTTCACATTAGTGTACAAAAGTCTGACATAAATGATTCTTCTTTTTGGTTATTTAACTATAACAGACTAAAGACACACCATGCTATGCAAATACTCTATATTCTACACTTTTTAAAGTAATGTTAAAGTCTACGAAAATATATAGTCGTCACATATGTATGGTCCATGGTGTCCATGGAGTAATACGTGTTGCATGTGAAAGTTTTTTGCTTATTTAGTAAGTATTACTCTGAAATTGACAATTTAATGGCTAGTCAGATTTAATGATGCTATTTTAAAAACGTAATTTTAGCTGCAAGTATTTGTCGAACGTTCTGCAGATGCACTCCTGCTGATTTGAGGTAACCATAGACCCATCACTGCCAATGCTGGTGAGTTGCTTCCTTTAGTCCCAAAATGTCCTGGAACTAATCTCAATGAAAGTTTATGGCCTCTGCTGCTCCTTGAATGTTGGAAAGAATCCTGCATGTCTATTTCTGAGCACCAAAACATTGAAATATTATATTAATTGAGTTTTTAGAATATATAATTTAGAGTACAAGTATATAATTTGTAAAAACATTGCCAACATTCTCAAAAACATTTAAAGTGAACCTTTCTAATAAACCTTAAGCACTTGAAGACCCTTTTGTGTTTGTTTAAAATATCCTCAACATATTAGGTATGAATATTAATTTGTTTTTAATATGAGTTCCTGAAGGCGTGCATGGATATTGGAATTCTATAGTTTTATACTCCTCTTGCAATATATATTTGTAAGCTTCTCGACATACTTATACATACATAGCTGCCAAGTTTAATGAAATAAATAATTAAATGAAATGTGCTATGCTGGCAGGAGGTGCAATGCCTTTTCACATCCCTAGTCTCAGCTCTCTGTCACTCCAATTACGGCCATTTGTCTCTTTCGCTGCTTTTCTATTGAAAGTGGACCCATTTGTTCGTCCAGTGTAGTATGTCCAGCGTGCCAATTAAGCAACAAAAGGGTCGGTCGGGTCACTTGGTCGCTTGATGGTCGTCGTCCATGCTGACGACTTGGCTGCCATTAAAACGAGGCGACGTTGCGCACTGTTTTGATGGAACGAATGCGAATGGATGGCAGGACCGAGCAGAGCTTGATGGGTCGGTACCGTCCGTGGGCGTCCGTTTTTAAAGTTATTCCCTATTCTGCTGGCCACGTGCATTCGATGCACATTTTGCAACAAACTTGGCCAAATTTTACAAGCAAAGGAGACCAGGAAATAGGAATGGTTATTAAAGTCAGAATCATGATGATGGCATAGCCACGCACTCATCTCGATTCCCCACTCCACTCCTCTTGCATTTTATTATTGTCTGAAAAATGAACGACAATAAGGACGACAACGACAACGACAACGGCAACGACGATGACGACAACGACGACGATGAGGACGACAGTGATGACAGCGTTGCCGACGATAACTTGAGAAAGCTGGCAGCATCTTGAAAATAGTCTCACCATCATTTCAGCGCCTCTCAGTCGATGCTCGTTAGCACTAATGGGTCGGGCAATAGCGGCACAAACTGAGCTCGAGGGTCGCAGTCTTGCGAATAATTTACAAAATTGCACAATCTGTAAGTTAATTAGAAATGCCGCAAAGAATTTCCCAGCAGGAAGTCGGAGAGTGCAAGTCATTGCCGGAATATGAAGCATGTCTTCTTAATTATGAAAACATTCCACACACCAACTACTTACATATTAAGGAAAAAAATTGCACAAGTTGCAATTTATAATTTTTAATGCAACAGTTGTGGACTCTCTGAGAAAAGATTTTTGATTCTGTCTTGTTTATGGCATCGAAAATTTAATGAAAAGTTCGTAAAAATTTCAGATTGGCAGCTTAAATCACTGTGGACTCGTACAGAATTTTTAATCATCCTACTAGATGGTAATTAGAAGTGGTGGTAGTAGTAGCGGAGCATTGGCCAAACAAGAAGGATAAAATATTTGAATTTTTAATCATCCCACTAGATGTTAATTAATGGTGAATCAGAAAATATTATGAAAGGAATTGAGAGAGAGAGAGAGAGAGAGAAAAGGTAGTCAGAGTCAGAGTAGTCAATTATTTTTAGGCTTTAAAGCTCAAATTGTAGTCCAAGTAACCTTCTATCCAGGTAGTATTGCCAGGCTAAGAAATTAAATTCCTCCACGACGCGTCGTCGATATGATCTGATAACATCGATGTGTAGCTTTTAATTGCTAGAATCTTACCATAAGTAAGATGATGTACGACTATTTTTAGATACAAATTTGTATAGCCAATCAGTCAGTCAGTCCGGCTGATCTAGACAAAAAAGTATATAATAATTTTCCTATATCCGTTCCTAGACAGCCAAGCGTGAAGGAATATTTGAATTGAGTTCAATTCCAAAGAATTAAATCAGTTTTTCATGAGTTGGTAGTTACTTGTATGTTTATTTGTGTAATTTTTTGGGCGAGAGAATTCTTAAATAAATTGTAGACTGCAGAAAAAACATTCGCTCATGAGCCATGGAGATCATCTTTGCAAGACCATTTAACACACTTCATATTTTATGAAGTGAATTGGCTTTGGGAAGCGTATGCATGAATCGGCAATAAAGTCATAAATTAATGCTCATTTTAAATGGTTTAACAAAATGAACAACCTTGTCAAACAAGTGCTCAGCCGCAGCAACGACAACAACAACGCCACCAACAACAACTACAACAACAAAAACAACAATCAGTACATGCATTAACATTTACGAAAATGGGCGTCCATTTCAGGCACTGCTGTTGCCAGTTTCCAGTTGCCCTCCAACCCTTCCGCCTACTCTCCTTGTCCAT